CCGCAATTATAAGTGTCATAAGTTCGTCGTGATGGATGGAGGAGTGCAGGCGGCTGCCACTTTCCTCTGTAACAGGCGAGGTACCTGTTCGAACCGCAGAGTCATCGCGGCGCAATAACCAATTGTGAGCGTATTACACGTCGCGTCACAAAGCCCTCGGCTCTTTTATCGAGCGCCTAGGTCAAATGGAAGCGGCTTCTAACTATCCTACAAAAAAAATTAAATCAAAGTCCGATTTACCAATAAGAGTTTTGAGTTTGAAAAATATTTAAATCAAAACGGTATGTCAAATAAAAAGCGGCCATGTGCAAGTCGGACTCGCGCACGAAGGGTTTCGTACAATTATCTATAAAAACTATATATTATAAATAAAAATGATGTCTGTTGTATGGGAGCCCCACTTAAATTTTTTTATTCAGTTTTTCAGTATTTGTTGTTATAGCGGCAACAGAAACACATCTGTGAAAATTTCAACTGTCTAACTATCACGGTTCTTGAGATACAGTCTGGTGACAGATGGAGAGACAGAAAGCGAAGTCTTAGTAATAGGGTCCCGTTTTACCCTTTGAATACGGAACCCTAAAAAAGAACTTTTGATGACTTTGACGATGGGTCAGTAGCGCAGTTGCTAAAGTATTGGCTTCGGCGCCGGGGGTCATCCTAACAATTCCCACACGGGGCAACTATTATATGTGACCACGATCTGGATCCACGTGAAATTATATTTGTGAAACGCTATTACGACAAATGATAATGGCATTCTACAGTAAGGACAATGTTTTTAATAAGAAAAACTAGTGCTAAAATTAAAACAGACTTCTTGATCCATATAATCGCTGTAATTTGTTTGTTATGTAGCTGTCTAATGACTGCTAAATATAACAATAATACCGTCGGAGATTTTTCAAAAAACAAACAAGGAGAATATAAATGTGTGGACCCTTCTCAGCAAACTACTTTTACGATGTAAAACGAAAATATGTAAATAAAATAATTAAAAAGTGTTTTTGTGAATTAAAAATTTGGTGTATCTGGTTGTAGATCACATCCCTTGGGGTAAACAGACCACGTCACTAGAAACAGGTCACTATCCTAAACTGGGTAGCATGTTACTAAGTTAATTCAAATCCTTATATGATAGATAACGTGTTTATTGGTCATATTTCGCACGTATTTCGCACGTACTCATGTGCCCACCACTTAAATTTGAGTTCACAACCATGGTGCCAAGCCCGACATCCATATACTTATCCAACACTAACTTGCTCAACTTTAAAAAAAATTAAAACTTCACAAGGTATTTCCTTACGACTCTACATCCTTGTGACGACTTTTTATTACATTGACTGTGATGCGACAAAGTCGTTTTTGCACAAACATATCGGCGACAATGGGAAACGGGGCTTTTGTATTTTTTCACTTTGATTGATGATTTTAATTTCCTATTTGGTTCATTGATTCTCAAAGCGAGGCAATACCGCTGCGGTGAAATTTAAACTTTCGGTGGCCGATTATATTAATCATTATTAAGAAAGATTTCTTTTGAACATAAGTTCCTATATTTAAATTTCTAATATTGTTTCGATATAAGGTCTTGGCAGGGGGTATCAGGGCATAGTCCACCACGTGGCCCCACTGCGGATTGGCGGACTTCACATCTTCGAAATATATATTTTTTTTGTTATTATTTCGAAAATGTGCAGGTTTCCTCACGATGTTTTCCTTCATAAGGCAAACAGTGGGACATTTATAGGCTGTTACTTTTACTTTACTAAGGTCTTAGATTTGAATGTTCAAGAATTTTCTACTTACGATTATAGGATGTCTTGTACCGTAGACTGGACGTAAATCGTCCGGTGTACGACGAAAAACCTACCACTTGGCAGGTTTTAGAAATCTTGGTGAATGGTGTACTACGCGCTATTTAGCCTTTTTTTATTTAGCTAGGTTTGAAACACCACAGTAATTTGTTTTGTGTTATGTGTGAAATTTCTAATGAACATTTCCTAATCAATTTAGCAATTACTTTACTTTGAGAACCGCATTCAGTGACGTGAATTAACAGGTACTAAGCTTAGATTAGTTAAGTTACTAGCAAAAATACCCATTACCCAATTGTATTTGCGAAGTTTAGTCTTAGATAGGTAATGACATAGGTAAACGAGTTTAATGCCGAATACAGTGTAAAAAATGGTACACACGATTCAATTTATAAAGGAAAGGACAACAAGTTACGATATTATTTACATACGTAAGGCAATATTGTCCAGAAACGATGGCGCCAAGATTTATTAAGTATTTATATAATTATATATTAAGTATTACATAAGGGTATGAAAATGTTTTAAATTGTCTTTCTACAAAATAAGACATGTATACAGGCCATGAGCAAAATTTCAAGCATTGTGACGATGATTCGCAAACATTAAGTTACATTTAACGACGATAATTCCTTGTGGAAAATAAAATAAAATCGCAACGTATCATAACATATTTGAAGTGAAAGAAATATAAATCAAATTCATGAAAGGAAAATGAACGTCCCGTAGATGTATAGTACATAAGAAATGAAAATCCGCTCCAGCTATTATGCATACAGTACGCCGGGCGTGCGTACCCCGTGTGTGACAGGCCCGATTTAAATATGGCGCCGGGCTCATCCCGCTACTGACGTTGTGACCGTCCATTTATCACTCTGGTAAGCCTCCGTCGATATTATGATCAATGCCACTCGCCCACCCCAGCCCCGTATTACGTATGACGAAGGCACCTTGCTTTAAACTTTCGATGACTCCGCGGCGCAGTTGATACGGTAATGGCTTCGGCGGGGTCGTAGGTTCGATTACCGCACGGGACAGTTATTTGTGTGACCCACAGATAATTGTTTCGGTACTTGGTGTTTGTCCCTGTAAAATGTATGTACGTAAATCGTTCTTACAACACAGGATAATAATATCCTACAGTAAGGGCAATGTTTTTTTAGAAAAAGAAGAAAGCTTGCTTAAATTTTCTGATGGGATCAGTTGACAATCGTTTATATATTAAAAGTTGACAAACAAGCAGGCGGTTGACATGACGTAAGTGATTACCAACTCCCATAGTCATCTATAGCAGCTGATGGGTTGCAGATACTTTGATAACGTTAAAAAAATATTTTCGCGTAACCTCTGGTGAGGTAGCAGGGGACTACCTCACCAGAGGTTACGCGAAAATATTTTATCAAGGTATTAACATAGTAAAACAATATTTATTTGTTCACCTGTTTAACATGCAAAAGAATTATTTATTACCTATATGTGTCAGAGGGTTGTGGTCACGCGAATTCACTGCTTTTGCCCTACCCTAAAAGTATCCACCGTGCCTAACAAGTTTTCTATATCCATACAATCGAACTATGTTTGGTAAGAAAGATAATGCTCGACGGAAGGTTGGCAACGTTGCAACTAAGTGTGTTGTAGATGGCCTTCACTTAACATCAGGTGAACTGTCTGCTCGCTCAGCAACTTTTTACATAAAAAAAAGTAAGACTAAGTGTCCTTAATTTGTAGTTATGACTATGCAGTTAATTTTTTTATTACTTTTTTCCTTACCTGTTTGGGTAAAATTTGTGTGTTAAAGTAAAGTAACAGCCTATACATGTCCCACTGCTGGGCAAAGGCCTCCTGTATTCAGAGGGTATCAGGGCATAGTCCACCACGCGGCCCCACTGCGGATTGGCGGACTTCACATATCTTCGAAATACATTTTTTTTTTATTATTATTTCAAAAATATGCAGGTTTGCTCACGATGTTTTCCTTCACCGCGGAGCACGTGATAAGTCAGCACTTAAAGTTCAAAACTTCATTGGTGCGCTGCATCGGGGATCGAACTCAGGTTGCTAGAGTATATATTGAAATAAAGGCGAGCGCCCGGACACTGAGCTATCACGACTCAATTTGTGTACTATACATAAATTGAAATCATTATTAAAATGCTGCATAAGATATTAAAACATTTAATGGAATGAACTTAAATTATAAATTTCATAATCCTCGCCTTTTGGATAAATTTATAAAAATGTATGATGTCATCATCATGTATGATCAAATCATCTAAAAAGAAATCAATCGTATACGTAATAGGGTTGAAAGCAAGTCACCCACATTGCATACTTTATATTGTAATGGTCTCCACCTGCGATAGGGCTGGTTAAAATATTGTTACATATATTTTACATCTCCAAAGGTGTTGCCAGCCTTTCCATGTAAATTTTATTTAAAAAGTATTTGAGTAATTATTAAACAAACAAATATATCAATAAAGCTGCTATTAATGCTAAAGATTTTTTTTATTATTCAAATACAAAATATTAATGTAAAAATTACAGTATTTGTAAAAAAATAATAATTATAAACACGTTACTAATTAACAACAGTTTTCAGGATCTATAAAGTGTTCTCAGGTGCATTCAATGATATATTTTTATATAATTTACATACATCTGTACGGAATTTTTTTGTTGATAGGCGCAAAAGTATTTTAGAGAAGGTGGAAATGAGCGGAACACCAGAAGCTGTTAAGCCCTGCCACAGATAAAAGCAAAGTATTTCTGATATTAAACAGTAATAAGTTTTATTTTATATGCAAAAATATTATTTCAATACTCGGATAGCGCAATCACCAAGGATTTGGCACCGTACGTCTTGGATTCGATTCCCGCTCAGGAAATAATTTGCATGAGCTGTTCCGGATCATAATGCTCTCAGTACAAATTGTAATGCCTTTACAACACAGGATCACCGTATTCCACAGAAAGTGTGACAAAAGTCAAATAACATACATAAATATGTATATATATAGGTTATAATGTACACACACACACACTCACATGCAGTGCACCTACATAAATATTCATATGTATATAATGCATATTAACAAATATAGTAACGACCGCGAACATCAAATGTCACTCCGCTGAATTGTGTAAAATGGCTTAATTTATTCGAAGTGGCGATATCCAATGACTTATCACAATGGCAATGTGACAAAGGGATCGGCCGGCATCGAGTGTCGAAAGTCGGAGCCTGGCCAAGTGCGCCTGACAAAAGAAAGAGAACCGGAAAGGGCCCCTCGAGTGGCGCGGGCCCCCGTCGATTGCCGTGGAGCAGACGAGAGCATCCCCGAATCGAGAGCGGAATCTGCGAGATCAATTCACATCGGCACGGATCGCTACTTGATTAATATCGCTTATTTCGAGCTACCCGAGAGCTTAACGCTTTAACAATAGAACAATCTCACAGTACCAGACCGACCGCACTCGGAGACCATCGCTTATTTGTCAAATGATAGTATCTTGTTAATAAGACTTTAAAACTGAACTTTGCAAATGTCGTTAACAACTTTAAAGATAGTTAAGCACTAATAGACTTAAAACTAACATAAAGATTGTTTTGTATTTTAGTCATATTTACTCAGAAACTTCTCTACTGTACACTCAAGTGAATAAAAGCAACTCAAGAATTTGTAATGTTTAGCGCCTTACAAAATAGCGGCAGCAAAATGCTATTCCGGGACTTTTCTCGTAGCTTTTACGTGTAATACAGAAATACACAAACGATGTACAAATACGATTGTACGAAAAACAACAAACAGACTTAAAATATACAAACTATATTACTATTAATTCGTAAAATGATTGAAGCGTTCTCAGCAATCCAACTCCCCTCTTAACCACTCGAAAAAATCCAATCAGCATAACTCGTCACTTTAATATCGATCCCCAATTTGCTAACACTTACAGAATCGGTTTTATGCATAGACGTAATGCAAAAACCGGGGACGAGTACCGTTCTGCGAACGAACTTTAAGCCTTACGGTGTTCACAATAGCACAGCGCATTGTTTTATTGGTGCGAGTGAGCCCTTGCAGAAATACAGCGTTGAGTGGTTTACTTAGAGTTTAAAATATTCATAGCTTGTACTGGATCGTATTTAAATATTTACATAAGTGTCACGCAGCGTCAGTGACGTTTGTCGATAAAACGTATTGAGTGGAGCGGCGGAGTCGGGAGTAAGGTTAGCGTGGGGTGGAGTGGACGGGGGCGGCGGACTGTAGAAAATCGCGGAAAATAATAATGAGAAAAATGTTTAAGCCGCGTGATCGTACACAACAATCTGTTGAAATAAAACTATATATATATCACTGCCTCTTTTAAAAGATTCGAAAATGTGTTATTGAAAAAAACTTTCATCTATTTTAAACAATTTAATGCTTTGGAATCTCTTTATAAAATGTTAAGACTTGACAGTATCTTTAAAGCGCAGTGTATGCGATTACCAAGGTGAAACCATTTTAGCTATGTTATTTCAACGATATTAGTTTAAGATTATAACAAAACGTAACGACACTGTCGACCTGTGAATCAGGGGGCATTTAATTGAACACAAACAGTGCATACCAAAGATGCGATTTCTTTCAGATCTCGTAAAGTATGGCGACGGCGGTGTTAACACGTAGGGGCGAGACGCCGCTAAGGTTCGTGTATTTGGGCCATAAAAAATAATGGATCTGGGAATCGTCGAGATATGCACGGAAATATGGAGTGAGGTGAGCGCTCGAGAAATCGTAATGGCATCGCGAAAATGGGGATTAGAAGACGATCGACTGGAAATCGATTGGGGGGGTAATACTTGCATTACGTACAACGATCCCGACGCTGGTTATGTTTTCGGTGTTTCTTTTTAATAAAAAATTATAAGAGCTTGTTTTCTCATTTGTGTTATACCTGACTTGACACCTAAACCAATGGTTTTTTATGTGAAAAGTTGCCAAATGAGGAGACGGTTCACCTGGTGGTAAGTAAATACCGCCGCCCATGAACATCTGCAAAACCCGAGGGTTACAGATGCGTTGACAACCTTTTGAAAATTGGGCTCCGGCTACCTCACTCACCAGACCAAACGCGAAAGTATTTGTCATACTTCCACTTTACGCTGGTCTTCTGTGAGGTGTTGGTTACCCGGACGGGTCTACCCTTTTGTGCAACAGCCGAGGCTGCTGCGTGGCCCTACCACCGTTTACAATGATTTTTACCATAGATATAGTTCATAAGCTTATTGCGTGCCCAATTATTTTATAACGAACAATCATTACAGTGAGACAATAAGTAAAATTTAAAGTCAGCCATTCGACACCTTCCAAGATAAATAAAGATATACTAGCAGATATACGAATATTGTAAACGGGTAAAATTTGTGTGTGATCGTTTCTAAATAAATAACAACTTGATATGTTTGACAAGCTCTTAATGCTGTAGGACCAATCGCTACACGCGAATCGTGTAGCGGAAGAATTAAACTTTTGCGTTACATTTGATAAGTGATGTAACCAAATTTCTCTTAAAGGTTGGCAATATATTTACAGAGCTACAGGTATTATAGATGGCGTGGTGGCATCACTTTATATCAAGTTAACCACCTGCTCGCTTGCCAACTTATCATAAACTGAAGAAAACGGGTAATCTCTGACACCACTAAAATAATTCTGAATATTTTCACTAAAGTAGCTGAATGGTGCCTGAGTGGCATACATATGATGAGTCAAAATATTTTACGGATTTTATAACGTTTTGTTTAACCATATCTTATATAACCATGTCTTTAAAGACATCAATTTGATTAGAGCTGGAACCAGGGATTGAATTTAGGTTGCTCGAGAATCACTACATAGTATAAAACAAAGTCGTCCCGCTATCCTGCTCTTTCAAATTTTGTTTCTTTTTATTTAAATGTAAAAAAAAACCCGTGTTGCTGTACGGATGTGAGATGTGGAAGGTTACAAGGGACATCTCGCGCCGGTTCCAGGTCGTCGTCAATCGTTGTCTTCGCCGTATTTTTACTGGCCCGAGAAAATCTCCAACTGTGCGAACGCTGCGATGAGACTTCGATCGACCAGCAGATCAAACGCCGCAAGTGGCACTGGATCGGCCACACGCTCCGAAGGGACCCTGATCACATACCGAGGCAAGCTCTATATTGGATTCCCCAAGGAAAACGTAAGCGCGACCGCCCTAAGCAAACCCGGCGGCGGCAGATCATCGCAGAGGCGAAGAACATAGGGAAGACTTGGAGCGAACTGAAATGTGAAGCTCATGACCGAACGGGATGGCGACGCACTGTGGAAGCCCTCTGCCCCATCTAGGGGAAACAGGGCCATAAACGTAAACATTATTTAATTAGTTTCTTCGAAAAATATTTTTTTTAATTATGGATTTTTTTAACGTTTTATATTTGGCAAGTAGCGTTAGACGTGTCTTCATTTATAGTCGCGGTTGTAACGACACGCTGTATATTAAAAAAATGTTTAGCGAGAATAGTTTAATAGCAAGCGAGTCTAGTTTTAATGAGCAAACGCGACATTTGTTGATCAAGACGAAACATAATGCTCCAATGCACAAAATTTATGAACTTAATGTACATTATCTGTGTAACAGAAATTTCAACGTTGTTTATATTCTTGTTTAGTCGTGGGGACGAGCTATAATTTTAGACGTCGTATACAACGTGTGAGGCGACTTGCACCTCGTCTGAAAAACGCTAATTAACTATGTGGGTAAATGTGTTAGAACGCCCGTGGGTTGAATAACATAAAGTGTACTACACCCTTATTTCAGGTAATCGTGTTTACTCGCCGCGCGCAAACATATTCCGCTGCAAATGACGGTATTTCATTGCGGGATATACTCGAGGACACACGTGTTACCGGGCTTTATTACGTATTATCTTTTTATAAGATTTTAACTGCATACAACGTTTAGTACACTGTATGTATAATGCTACAGAAATCGGTTGCGATAATCAAACTGGATTTGAAAGACTTTTTTGTTACCTTTCTTCAGCTTAATTTTATTTTGTTTCAATTTAGTCTTATTACTCTGAAAAGCTTTCTCTTCAACCATATATATATATATATATATATATATAATTGGTATCATTTTTGTATTTGTATCTCGTTTACAGTCACACACATATATTTCCTCTCCACTATTGTAACAGCAATTATTTAGCTCAAACAAGCTCAGTAATATACATACATAACTCTATTTTAACGTACTAATAAGTAGCGGAGTGATTATTTATCTTGCCACTGTCATTAGGAGGTTGTGCGTCTTCGCCCAACTCGGACCTCCACCTCGATGGCGTCCAAGTAATTCGTCTCAAGTTATTGGCAAGCAAACAAAGTTGCGGCCGACGGGGAGCGAACCCAATTATCTCTAATGAAGACAATGATATAAGCGCGGTTATTGATCCAGATTTGAATTTCACGACGGGTCAGTCCCTGCGATGTGCGAGCCCTTAATGCTTCTTACAACTTTCGTGTAGCCCGACCAAGTCACCTTGGTCCTTGCGAAATTGTTCTTTACCTATATCTTGAATACCTAGCCGTATCGAAAACAACACTTTACTTCTCTTACTGAAGTAGTGTAATTAAGTAATATTTTTATTAAACTTCTTTAAAGTTGTAATGATACGATGATCAAATTGTTTTGATTTTTATGATGGTTTACAATTTTATTTAAGAACGAATGTTATGTTTTATTATTGGTTCGTTATATCCATGTTTATTTCTTAGACTTATTATTTATTTCTTTTACATAATGCACAATGAAAGTTCTCAATTTACTAACATTTTCAATTACTTAAATATTAGTGTATAATTGGAATAGATAAGATAAAAAGTTACGTTAGTATTATTATTTGCATTATATAAATGGAGTACTGTGTATTTATGGTATTAATACTAATGAAGTATTAATACCACAATTACACAAGGTTTCATGGTTAAAATAAGATTTTGTTACGTAGAAACAAGTAAAAATCTAATGGACCAAGCGCATTTATTCATTCTTTGGCCTAGTTTAATGTCCACTAACTAATTTCTTATCCCCAAAACATAATATTATGAACATACACACGAACAAACGTCCGAAATTATGATTAACGAGCGTTCGCACACGCATAAATCGGACGCTTCGCACACTTACACATCATAGAATAGATCACGGCTGATTAAAGTCGATGTCATCGTAAACCATTCAATAACCGACTGTAATATGGTAATTAATTTTCTTTTCTTATTCTTGACTAAAATATTTTTTTAATTTAAGAGCAAAGATTATGTAGCAGCGATACCCTACGAAGGTAATATTAATCAGCGTCTTTTTTTATAATTTGTGTTTTTGACCTAGACATACATATAAACATGCATTTATTTGTAGTT